TTGTCATGGCAACTCCACGTTATTGAATAAGGTTTATTGCCTTAGTAGCATAGATAAGTACACCGGTACTAACCTAGGTCATATCTCACAGGTGTAACTTCTGTCAGGTTTCATACCCTACTGACAGTATGGGAAATCTCGTACATTTGATCCCATTTATTTCCTCCTGTACAGTAGCCACATTCGGTTTGCGAGGAAGCTGTCGATTCGCAAAGAATGTGATGGATTATCGTACTGGAAAATGAACAAATGAGGTGTCTATGAGTGAAAGCAACGTTCTTCAGGAACCTCAACACAAGTTTAGTAACGGTAGGTAATGTCAATTCAGTCTTCTCATATCATGGGACAGTTAGACAACCTCTTAGGACCAAAAGATACCAGTTCACATAATATCTTTTAATTTCAGGGAAGTCTTTGGCACAGCACCTCATATACTTCTCTTACCAAAAATTGCATAGATTGGCTTTACTGACCCAATCTTATCCTGACATCGAAATTACCTAGAGAAAAGAATGCTCCGTACCAAAGTAAATAGAATGCAAGAACGTTAGTGAGTCTCAAAATGTTAGGTCCACTCCCACTCTTGATCTTTAATGATGACCTGTTAGATGAAATTAACTCAACGGCACTATTCTATGCAAACGACGCGAAAATCAGGTCTGTAAAATACGAAAGGATTCACTTAAACCTCAAAAGGACCTTACGATAATCGATGAGTGGACAGTTAACAATGGGTTAAGACGTAAATCTTCGAAATATTATGTTATCACAGTTCTGTCTCATTTGAGATGAAGCATCTACACATCCAATCGAAATTGTATTCCGATTGTCTCCTTAGAGTGTGATCTTGAGCTTGCGATTAGGAAGAGCTTAAACACCAGCTTGACAACATAGGTGATCCAGTCAAGGCTGGTTTATCCTTCCACTTTGACTGTGGACAACGTGGTGCAGTCACCCTAGAGTCATTCCTCACACTGTTCAAAACACATGCACAAACTTATCTTAACGTCCAGAATGTCGATGCACCTCCTCTCTTCAAAAGAGACATAATTCGTCAGATCATGTGCTGGGACAGGCAACCGACTGGGGGATAGGGCTATGATACAAATCGTATGAGGGTAGACTCTAACACTGGGGATTATTCTCGCTGAGCCTTAGGAGAATAAGAGGTGATCTTATGATGACATACAACATATTGAGTACGACAAACCACCCCAAAACGAACATACTGGCAAAACATCAACACTAAACGTTAAAAGGATTGCACATCGAGGAGCTCCTACTTTTTCTTATTAAGAGCATCACTCATTTGGAATGCTTTCCCTCCCGAATTGACAAACATATACTCACACATGGATTAACATATCCCTCTTGTACTAGCTGTGTCTGATGCGTATCTCATAATTAACCATATTTATCATTACCGTACGTCAGGAACCGCTTACCAACTCGCTTATTGTCATCTCCATTTCAACCGTTATTTTTCTGATTCAGTCTTCTCACAATGTCTGTATCATTAATTAATTAACTTATGTATTTGTTCGTGAGACAAGGGCCTTGTCTTAGCACTGGAATTACCACTTTATTATTTTAAACCTGTAACTGACCAAACTTTTTGCCTATCAGTGAGATAGAAGATGGAACCCATAAACCCTACTTCCCTGAGGTGAATGCACTCAAATTACAAGATATATCAATTCACAAATGACTACCACACTGACTAGAATTAGTGCAGTCGAGTACTTACAGGTGTCTAGTCGGAGTCATTTACAGGAAGCCAACTGCCGACACCGAGTACGATAGTCGTATGCTGGAAGGACTATCCCGCTCTATCCGTCTCGGTTTCACACACATCCTGATTCTAGGGGACTTTAATCTCCCTAGAGTCAACTTCGCGGAACACACGTACACTGGAGGCGACAACTCAACTGAAGCTCGGTTCTTAAACCTCATCGATAACTTGGGCTTATATGAAAATGTGAGGTCGGCAACTCGTTGGAGAAACAGTCAGACACCATCGCGCTTAGACTGTGTATTCACTAACGAAGAATTCCTAGTCGACAACCTCTCAATCCTGGCTCCTCTGGGAAAGAGCGATCATGTCGTCATAGCCTTCAGTTTTGTCATCAAAACTAAGCTAAGGTATCCCAACAATAATTTGCGTTGGAATTTTAAACGGCTGAATGTGCCAGCTCTACATGACTATCTACAACAGGTGGTTTGGGATGTTCACCCTCAAATCGATGTGGATGGTCATTGGGACTTCTTACTGCACACGCTCTTATGTGCTACAGACCATTCAGTTCCTCAAACGGTTCCCAAAAGCTTCAAGCCACCTACAGTAATCAAGAACCGTACCCATCGCCTGCTAAGCCGCAAACGGCACTGTTGGGCGGAATACAAACGAACTAATAACGATGGAGCGTATAGGCAATACAAACATATCAGGAACACATGCACGAAGGCTATAAGAGAAGACAGGCTTCAGTACCAAACAAAGCTTATGGACAAATTCGCCTCTAACCCTAGAAGCCTATTCCGTTATGCAGCCTCTCTTCGTCAAGCCAAAACAGGAGTTTCTCAACTGCTAGGTCTTAACGGCCCGACCAACAACGATGGCGACGCCGCTAACCTTCTGGCGGCCCATTACTCTCAAACATTTCAACCGGCTGACATCAACTTCATTGACGACAGTTTCATCTCCAACTCCACAGGGCTTTCTGAAGTGGACCTAAGCGCTGACTTGGTGTTCCGGAAATTGCAGCACTTAAGACTTGACACTTCTCCTGGCGCGGATATGGTTCATCCTGTCATACTGAGGGAGGCAGCCTCAATCCTGGCAACGCCGCTTAGCGTGATGTTTTCACACTCGCTTAGCCGAGGCAAATTACCGGAAAACTGGAAGTTGGCTCACATCACACCAATTTTCAAAGGTGGTCGACGCAATGAACCTTTAAGTTATCGGCCGGTGGCTCTTCTGTCATTACCTTCAAAAATCATGGAGTCCCTGATATGCGACGGTTTAAATGACTATCTACTGTCCTTAAATTTCTTCTCACCCCAACAGCATGGTTTCAGGAAGGGTTACTCTTGTATAACCAACCTGCTGACTGCGGTGGACAAATGGACAAGCATCCTCGATTGCAAGGGAAAGGTTGACGTCATTTACCTTGGTTTCTCAAAAGCTTTTGATAAGGTTAACCACTTGTGTCTTATCAACAAGCTCAAACGACTAGGTATCAAACCACCTCTAATCGATTGGCTTACTTCATACCTAAAAAATCGACACTTTAAGGTTAGGGTTAATTTCACTTTATCTCAGGCTATGGAATGTCCTAGTGGGGTCCCCCAGGGCTCAGTACTAGGGCCTTTTCTCTTCTTGATCTACATAAATGATTGTCCTTAACAGGTAACCTCATACTTACTACTTTTTGCCGACGACGTGAAACTTTGGAGAGAGATACACAACCAAGACGATATACAGGCACTTCAGGAGGATCTGACGCGACTTCAAAGTTGGGCAGACGGACTTACCTTTAACACTTCAAAGTGTAAAGTAGTCCATCTGCGACATGTCGCAAACTACAGTTACAACCTAGGAAACTCCTCTCTAGTAGTATCCCAAGTCGAAAAAGATTTAGGAGTCCTGGTGCCCCATGACTTGAAGTCTTACGCTAACTGTGACAAAAATGCCTTCCGAGCAAACCTTGCACTGGTAACGTTGAAGCGCATTTTTGGACAGTTTGACGGACGAACTTTACATACAATCTTCAATAGTTTCATCCGTCCCCATTTAGAGTACGGAAACATAGTACTCCCCCCTCACTCCAAAGGACAAGGTCACTTTGGAGCGTATCCAACGGCGAGCCACGAAATCAGTTCGAGGACTCAAATCTAAGCCTAACGAAGAACGCCTCCGTTCACTAGACCTTAACCCACTAGAATATAGGCGTCTTAGAGGTGATTTACTAATGGCTTATAGTATTCTTAACGCTTCTGGACATCCTCTTAAACACCTACTTAAGCTTAGTTCGAATAATAACCTAAGGGGTAACACCCAGAAACTGGAAATACAACATAGCAAGACGGAATGTAGACACAACTTCTACTCCTTAGGAGTTGTCAAAAGCTGGAATTCGCTGCCGGCCGAGCTAGTCCAAGCGACTTCTCAGGAGTTCTTCAAGAGGCAACTTGACCTATTCTTAAGGACCAAGGACAGCATCACATTATGATTTACCAATTTCTTTTCCTTTTTTATTGTTAACATACCTAGGTTCCTGCCTGGAGGATTTGGTGATCCCCTGCTACTAGACACGGAAGCCTGTTAAGCGAAAGCTTCTTCTATTCCGTCCACAACCATTTGAACCATTTGAGTGGTTAGAATAACCTCAGTGGACGTTGCCAAATGCACGGAGTCTTACTGAAACAGTAGTAAATGAGCGCAAACAGATCAATTGGTTGTACGAGCTCATGAAAAAGATATTAGATATTGGATTGAAGGCTTGCTTCACTCCGCATTTTTCGTATAGCTCGTTACAGTAAGTGGTGCTCGCTGCGACTCACTCCGCCAAACCCAAAATATCTGCATTAGTCGCAGTATGTAAAACGTCACTCAAAAACCAAGCTGCTCATAGAAATGTGCGAACTTGCAATATATTGATCAGTGATATCCATCAGTATATTTGAACCCAGGAATAGAAACGGATTGAAACGAGGCACATGGGGCCGAATTTTGCGAAGAACCCCATTTTTAATACAGTCGGTCTCATGTTTTGCGTGTGGTTTTTTCACCTTATTTGTTCAGGACACCATATTTTACTGGCTAGAGTACTAATTTTTACCATTCCCTTTACTACCCTGGGCGCATGGCAGGTTATTGTATTTTATGTATTTAAGTACATTTCGAGTAGTAATAGTTCAAAGCATTTTATCCAGGCCAACAGCCATTTCTAATGGTCATTTTCAATACAACGAGTTCAAAAAAGTTCCATGTTTTCATTTGAAAATGTAAGAGTAAAGCTTTTTGATGGTCAACGTACTTCTTTGCACACCTTTCAGATAGTCATAAAACTGGTTGAATAACATGGTCACACGCAGGCATTAGATCTTGGAATACAACCTAAGTTAATTGTCAGTAAACATACTTGTGAGCAAAAACAGGACGAACACTAAATATTTGATCAACGAATTTAAGTTCAGGTCTTGAAACAGTCGGGTTTTCTCTTATTTGGTTCTCGGGACTTCGTCAAGGATTAGCCAACTACTGAAGTCAATATTCTTGGTTTGAAATTGGTTGCTCCAATTCTTTTACTGTTATGACGAAAGAACAGCCTCTTTAATCTAAACTATCTGTGATCGTGACCAGCTTGGTGGAATTGTCTTTCCACTCAGCTTTTTGTCAATTGTAACTAACAAATTTGAACGGCCAGTTTTCGTTTCTAGCTATAATAGTAGTTATTTCTCCTTGGGTTCTGATATACAGTGATTAATCACTCAGTTTTATCCTTTTTAGATGGATATTATCAAAGAAAATTTAAATAACATCACAGATATTAGTTTCAAGAAACCTGAAGGGAAACTCAAAACTCTGAACTTAATTCCTAACAGTGTACATCTTGTAGTTATAAGCAAATTATCCATCCCAAAAATTATTCGTGTAAATTTACCACATCGTTCAAAAAATCTATCTATCTGTTTGATAGTTAAAGATTTTCGCAAAGATGATTATGAACGCACTACAGAATCTTGGAAACGGCGTTGGAACATGGATTTGAAAAAGTCCGAACTTTCTCACTTAGACGCACCTGAAGTGACATTTTTACCTCTGCGGGAACTAAAAGTAGCTTACCAAACTTTTGCTGCCAAACGTCGACTGGCTGCCACTTTTGATATATTTCTTGCCGACAAACGAATTGTTCATCGTTTACAAAATAAACTGGGTAAAGCGTTCTACCAGGAGGTTTCAGGGAAATTTCCTATCCCAACGTCATTTTCGAACAATAATCTTGTAGATACTGTCCGACGGCAACTACATACATCTTTGTTCGTGATTCGAGGCAATGGGACAACCGATAGTCTCATAATTGGGGATGATCTTTTCTCATCATTCGAGCTAACGGATAATGTAATATCAGTTGTAAGTAATTTTTAGATTTCTGTTCTAAATTTCAAGTCCTAAATGTTTGAAGTAAATATAATGACACGCCTTGTTGCTTGCTTGTCGTATCTGTATACTGCTTGAAATGACTAGATTTTTGAAGCAGTAATAACAAATAATAATCCTGTTTGTTTCCAGATATGTAGGTACTCACGAAAGCCTTACTATTTTACACGTTACTTTCTGTATTCCTTTTTTAAGTGACCAACGTATTGTTACTTAAAGATCACTGAATAACTGGTATTTATTTGTTCGTCTTAATGAAGATGTTACATACCAAAAAACAGTAAACGAACCTACATAATGAGGAGGGGGGTCAAAATAATTTCCTTCATAAAGTTCCATATGTGAACTGGAACAGCTCACTGTTTATGGGGTCTTTAATTCGGTGCAACTCAGTCATTCGGTCGCCCCAACCAAAACAACTAAAGTAATCAGACGTTACAAAAGCTTTTGCGGTGAACAAAATTTCAGGTTACCAGTACCGGTTAGAACGACTCAACGTATATTTAGCGTTAAATAAGATGCCTTATGGGCTGGGGTCAAAATCATATTAGTTGATTTTGTCCACAAATTATAATGGCTTTTTTACGCCGTAGTACAACTGAGTAGTCTTACATTTTATCAATCATTTATTTATTTATTTGAACACAAACATTACTACAAGGGAGCACCAAATACATATGCCCCACACAATAACGAGTTTGTGAATAGATAAAGTGCGTATAATAAAAAAGAACAACAACAAACAGAAATTAGTGTATTAGAGTGAATTAATAATAATAATACTAATGGGAGAAGCAGTTCAGTTAACAAAAGTATAACCAGAAAGTATTCTTTCAATCAAAAAAGTTACGTCCATTTTTATGAAAGTAAAAGAAGATTACAGCAGCTTCGACACTGGCTTCTATTCTGAGCCATATCTAATAACATCTCTAGCTACTGTGTTGAACCATCTCTAGAAACCCAATAACGGAGTCGTAAAGGTCCAATAGAAGCCAGTCCTATACAGCTTTTTTTTCGTACCGTAACATCATGTCATACACTGACCACCTCCCCACTTTTTTCAACCAGTTCCAGTGTCGGCAAATAATGCACGACATGAAGTTCTCTGGGACAACATTCGTGGGACATATATAAGGCACCGAAGTCGGTGTTTCAAGATGGTGACACCAATTGAATTATCATCTCTGTGCCCGAACACACGATGCCGAACCTCTGCATTACTGACATGGTGTTGCCACTGAATGTCAGCAATCCTTCGGAGACAGCGATGATCGAACACAGAGAGTCGTCTAACGTCCTCAACTCGGAGAGGCCAGGTTTCATAAGCATAGAGCAAAACTGCTCTCACCAACGCGTTGTAGACCTGACATTTTACAGCTAGACTGGCATCACGAAGGCGCCAAAGATGGTCCAGGTTGGCATAAGCCGTTCTGGCTTTCACCATACACGAATTGATCTCATCACTCGCACCACCACTAGCACTTATGCAACTACCAGCTTCATGAACTTCTCGACTACTTTTCTGTGCTCACTACCCAGGGTGAGTGTAGGTTCAGGGTCCTGCCAGTCTTGTAGAAGTACTTTGCACTTCGAAGGTGCAAAGCACATACTATACCTACGGACATTAATATGCCAACTGATTAAGTGCGGATTGCATGCCTTGGGCATTATCGCACAGTAAGACAATATCGTCCGCTACTCAAGGTCGAGAAGTCTTCTCCAGGTAACAGATCCACACCACCATTACTTACATTCATCAGAACTGTTTCCAGAATGTCATCGATGGCAAATTTGAAGAGGAATGGTGAGATTAGGCAACCCTGCCTAACCCCACTGCTCGAATGGAACAATGGAGAGAGGTGGTTGTGTGCCCTCACTCTGCCTGAGGTGTTTTTGTATAGGGCTATTAGGATGTTAATAAACTTCTCAGGCACACCCTTCTTCAATAGACAATCCCAGAGAACAGTCCTGTCCAACGAATCGAAGGCAGCCCTGATGTCAAGGAACACTACGATTGTTGGCCTTTGATAAGTATGGCGGTGTTCTAACATTTGGCGGAGGGTGAAGATATGATCAATACATCCTCGACCAGAACGAAACCCAGCCTGCTCCTCGCGAGTCAATCTTTCTCGGGTTTTGAACAACCTACGAAGTATGACGGAAGCCAATAGCTTGGACGCAATCGGAAGTAAACTTATCCCCCGATAGTTGTTACAAGAACGACGTGAACCCTTTTTAAAGATAGGGACAACTATCGACTCATTCCATGACGTTGGTACACTCTCTAGTTCCCAAATCTTTGTAAACAACGTCGTCAATTCCTTAGTCAAAAAGTCACCACCATCTTTAAAAAGAGCCGAAGGTAAGTCATCTGGGCCAGGTGATTTGTAACGCTTCAAGAGTTGGAGTTCCTTGCGGACTTCCGCTTCATTTGGTGGATCAGTCGTCACCGGCCATGGAGGGCAGGACAGTCTGACCGATGTTGCCGGAGCAGCAGGCCAGTTGAACTGCCCTTCGAAAAATTCTGCCCATCGTCCAAGACGTCGATGGATGTTAGTGATTGGCATCCCATCATCCTCGCAGATTGTTTCACTCACACCAAACTTCTTGCTGCCAGTGGCTCGGATGAGTTGGAAGAGCTTCTGGTAGTTACCAGATGCAGCTGCTGCTTCCAGCTCATTAGCACGCTCTGACAACCAGGCTTCTCTGTCCTTACGCAAGTTTTGTCCAATGTCATTGCATAACTAGGGTTCAGATAATTACTTCAAAAGGAGCGGCAGTCTTGTACACAACCACACCAGCGATAGGTGATTGCGATGTGATCAGTCTGAGTCCAGGCTTAAGATGCAGAGGAAGGATGCCAGGTAGCACATCGGCGATGTCTGTGCCGGTATTTAGTGCTAGCCAGAAACAGGTTGTAGTTTGGTCACGGTTTCAGTAGATGGTCACCGTTATCTAACCTGCGAGCAACAAGTCCCAATCAGCCATGCAAACGACTTCTGTGCCTAGATGCCCGACCTTTCTATTCAAGTCTTCGGTCAATACAACAATATATGTCGAATACTTTTCGTAAAGGAACACACAATTAGTGGTAGAACTCATCCTTGATAGGATCCGAGCTTCAGTCTGTCGGGGCGTAGGCTTAGATGTTCAAAAAAATCGTTTCGTACAGCGACTCACTTTGGTGAAGCTTTCTAGTCTATCAGTGTATAACCAACTGGGAATTCAATTGGTCAGTGCTGCCTCAACTCTAGCGCAACGAACGTGAAGTAAGCTTTTCGAAGCGACAAATGGAGAGCGAATTTGTAGTACTTCGCTAGAGTCTTGAATACGAGTCTCGGATAGACAACAGACATCGATATTAAAACTTCGTAAAGACATAACCAACCCTATCTGTTGTTCGATCTGCATTAATGTGCAGACGTTGAAGGCAGCCAGTTCGAATGGTGCACGTGGTCTGAGAAAGACTTTCAGTATTCGTAGTCGGTGGTAGCATTCATTTTTCGACCAGTCACTGACTTGGGATCGCTTAGATAGGACAGGGTATCCACCATAAGCGAGCCACTGTATAAGTTGGAAAAGAAAATGTGCAAAATGAGAATAAAGGGGAATACATAAGTGACGTAGTATAAAAGCGATAAGAACGAATATTATCAAATGATTGTGAGTGGAGTTGAAGCAAGAATAATTTTTCCGGTAGTAATAATCATTTGGTTTGTATGAGGGCTGGAATACTGCCCGGATGCCCAAACCGAAACAGGTGGTTTTCTTAGGAGACCACATTCAAAGCCTTTGACCTAAAGGTCTAATCCACAACGTCAGGAAATGCAATTTCATGGTACCCAGTGACCAATAATAGGTTCATACGTCTTTTATGCCCTTAGGATCCTGGAGCCCATGTACACCATTGATTTGAAATCAGGGTTTTCCAACTTCTCTAAATGGATCCTCCATATCCACCAACCCGGTTAAAGCGCTGGACATTCGCTTCTCGTCCTCTCAATTTCGTAAACAGAACATCTGTCACGAAAAGGCAGTGAGTATGACTTCTCTGGCAGTGGTTGTATACACGTGCCCATGTGAGAGCATTTAGAGGGAGAGAACTCTTCCCACCCTTGGTTGTGCCAGGGCCGGTTCCTGATTTTTAACAGTTCCTTATCTGATTTCAGCCCACAATGACAAAATGTTTTAAGCTGACAAATTATAGAGGATTTAATAATTGATTCCGACTCTACGTATCACTGGCTAAAAGGACTTTCGTGGGATCATGAAATACTGAGTTTATGAACTACTCAATGAATCACTATCTAAGTTCCCAATAGTTCTATAATCAGTGTGACTATTATGAAAACTAACATTTTTATTGTTTCCATGCAATCACTAATTTAAAACATCAGTCTTTTAAATTTCCTTTTTATCTTTTTAGTGTGAAAAAATCTGTTCAGAATGGCCAGGTGGTGGTATGGCAAATATCCGTTCTATTTACATTCAAAGCTCAGGTATCTCCATTCCTTTGTACTACGATGAAACAGAAGCACCTTTAACTACAATAAGTGAAAAATTATCGAGTCTTCCTAAAGCTGTTCACCGAAGATCTCATACACTTATTAAGAAACTAAAAAACACAGAGGATGGTGCGCCAATCGTTAGTCAACCTAAAAAGTCTCAAAAATCACTTAAAAGATTACCGAAAGAACTCGTTTCACAAATTGCAGATGATCTCCCTTTGACATCAGATGAAGTCGACAAAATTTTACGCAAACGAAACTTCAACGATAGTAGCATCACCCAAATGAAGTTAAAACGAAATAAAAGGATTTCCCGTCATAAATTTGTAAAAATATAGTTCATTCTTGTCAACTTTGCTTTTTCTGTCAGTACAGTTTCTACAATAAATTAGTACGTCTGAAGAACAGACATTTACGTTTTTGTAAGGTAATCTCGTCGCACATTTGTAAAAATCAGTTTTTTGATAACACAAGGGTCCCGGAACTTGCACGTGTTCACATTTTGCATAAGATACGTAACAAAAACTCACAGATATTTGCATTTGTTTTCATGAACTGGTTCACTGATAAATCTCCGCTTAGCTATTAATCGGTAATTTATGTTATCATTTATTTATTTATTTGAACACATGAATATTGGTACAAGAGAGCGCCAATATATATGCGCCACACAAAACAATGAGAATTCAAAGAGAACTAGAGAAAAAAAAGCTAAGGAGCGCAAAAAAAAGAGAACAATAACGAGGAGATTGGTGTAAGGTAGTATGGTAGAAATGTGGGGACGGAAAGGTACAATCAGAAGAAATCTTTCAGGTAAGGGAGACACAACCACTTTTTATGAAGAAAGTAAAAGAAGATTACAGCAGCTTCGACACTGGCTTCTATTCTGAGCCATATCTAATAACATCTCTAGCTACTGTGTTGAACCATCTCTAGAAACCCAATAACGGAGTCGTAAAGGTCCAATAGAAGCCAGTCCTATACAGCTTTTTTTTCGTACCGTAACATCATGTCATACACTGACCACCTCCCCACTTTTTTCAACCAGTTCCAGTGTCGGCAAATAATGCACGACATGAAGTTCTCTGGGACAACATTCGTGGGACATATATAAGGCACCGAAGTCGGTGTTTCAAGATGGTGACACCAATTGAATTATCATCTCTGTGCCCGAACACACGATGCCGAACCTCTGCATTACTGACATGGTGTTGCCACTGAATGTCAGCAATCCTTCGGAGACAGCGATGATCGAACACAGAGAGTCGTCTAACGTCCTCAACTCGGAGAGGCCAGGTTTCATAAGCATAGAGCAAAACTGCTCTCACCAACGCGTTGTAGACCTGACATTTTACAGCTAGACTGGCATCACGAAGGCGCCAAAGATGGTCCAGGTTGGCATAAGCCGTTCTGGCTTTCACCATACACGAATTGATCTCATCACTCGCACCACCACCAGCACTTATGCAACTACCAGCTTCATGAACTTCTCGACTACTTTTCTGTGCTCACTACCCAGGGTGAGTGTAGGTTCAGGGTCCTGCCAGTCTTGTAGAAGTACTTTGCACTTCGAAGGTGCAAAGCACATACTATACCTACGGACATTAATATGCCAACTGATTAAGTGCGGATTGCATGCCTTGGGCATTATCGCACAGTAAGACAATATCGTCCGCTACTCAAGGTCGAGAAGTCTTCTCCAGGTAACAGATCCACACCACCATTACTTACATTCATCAGAACTGTTTCCAGAATGTCATCGATGGCAAATTTGAAGAGGAATGGTGAGATTAGGCAACCCTGCCTAACCCCACTGCTCGAATGGAACAATGGAGAGAGGTGGTTGTGTGCCCTCACTCTGCCTGAGGTGTTTTTGTATAGGGCTATTAGGATGTTAATAAACTTCTCAGGCACACCCTTCTTCAATAGACAATCCCAGAGAACAGTCCTGTCCAACGAATCGAAGGCAGCCCTGATGTCAAGGAACACTACGATTGTTGGCCTTTGATAAGTATGGCGGTGTTCTAACATTTGGCGGAGGGTGAAGATATGATCAATACATCCTCGACCAGAACGAAACCCAGCCTGCTCCTCGCGAGTCAATCTTTCTCGGGTTTTGAACAACCTACGAAGAATGACGGAAGCTAATAGCTTGGACGCAATCGGAAGTAAACTTATCCCCCGATAGTTGTTACAAGAACGACGTGAACCCTTTTTAAAGATAGGGACAACTATCGACTCATTCCATGACGTTGGTACACTCTCTAGTTCCCAAATCTTTGTAAACAACGTCGTCAATTCCTTAGTCAAAAAGTCACCACCATCTTTAAAAAGAGCCGAAGGTAAGTCATCTGGGCCAGGTGATTTGTAACGCTTCAAGAGTTGGAGTTCCTTGCGGACTTCCGCTTCATTTGGTGGATCAGTCGTCACCGGCCATGGAGGGCAGGACAGTCTGACCGATGTTGCCGGAGCAGCAGGCCAGTTGAACTGCCCTTCGAAAAATTCTGCCCATCGTCCAAGACGTCGATGGATGTTAGTGATTGGCATCCCATCATCCTCGCAGATTGTTTCACTCACACCAAACTTCTTGCTGCCAGTGGCTCGGATGAGTTGGAAGAGCTTCTGGTAGTTACCAGATGCAGCTGCTGCTTCCAGCTCATTAGCACGCATCGACCACCAGACTTCTCGGTCCTTACGCAAGCTTTGCCCAATTTCCTTACGTAACATCCTTCGTTTATGGTCAAACTCACGGTCACCCGGAGTAGACCGACGGGCTTCAATGAGTTGTAAGGAACCAGAAGAAACCCAGTGCTTGAAAGCGGGACGTTTCGCGAACCCACAACTGACTGTACCCTCCATTTTCATGGCGTCATGCAATTGCAACCAATGCTCATCTATAGTTTTCGGTGGAGTGGTAGCTAGCCTAGAGGCTAGCTCGGTTCGATACTTACTAGCAACAGAAGTTGCAACCAGCTTGCTAATATCAATCCGTTGATGGCGGTCACTTCGTTGTCCACTGAAAAGTAAGGCAAATTGGCGCAGACCAAGGCATGGTCAGAGTCCAGATAGGTACTCCAAAAGGAGCGGCAGTCTTGTACACTACCACGCCAGCGGTAGCTGATCGCGATGTGATCAATCTGAGTCCAGGCTTGAGATGCAGAGGGAGGACGCCAGGTGGCACATCGGCGATGACTGTGCCGAAAGTTAGTGCTAGCCAGAAACAGGTTGTGGTCTGTGCAAAGTTGCAGTAGACGGTCCCCGTTATCTGACCTGCGACCAACGAGTCCCCATCGGCCACCTAAACGACTCTCTTCTGTGCCTAGACGCCCGACCTGAGCATTCAAGTCTCCGGCTAGTACTACAATATCTGTGGAATGCTCTTTCTGGAGAAAAACAAATAACTGGTGGTAAAATTCATCCTTGATTGCATCCGGGCTGCAATCTGTCGGGGCATAGGCGGAGATGACGAAAAGACATCGTTTCTCACGCCGATTTCTTCTCACTTTGATGGAACTTTCTAATCTAACAGCACATAACCGACTGTTAATGGGGATCCAATCGACTAGTGCTGCCTCAGCTCTAGCGCTTAGTGCGACACCAACGCCAGCACGACCAGACGAAGATGCCACAGGGTCCCCGGATGAGCGCACGTAAAACAAGCTTTTCGAAGCGACAGATGGAGATCGAATTTGTAGTACTTCGCCAGAGTCTTGAATACGGGTCTCGAATAGACAACAAACATCAATATTAAGACTTTCCAAAGACATAGCCAGCCCTGTCTGTTGTCCGACTTGCATAAATGTGCGAACGTTGAAGGCAACCAGTTTGATTGGTGCACGTGGTTTCAGAAAAACTGCTTCAGTACTCATATTCGCGGGTAACACAATTTTCAACCGGACAGTGACTCGAGAACGTTTAGATACAGTCGAATTTCCACCAAAGACGAGCCGCTGTATAAGTATAAAAGAGGGTGAATAATGTGGTAAATAATAATAATAATAATAATAATAATAATAATAATAATAATAATAATAATAATAATGACAATAATACTAATAATAATAATAATAGTATTAATAATGACAATAATTGTAATGATAATAATTTGAATCAATTGCTTGTTTTTCGAAGCGAGAAAAGTAATTTCCATAGGCATAGAGAGTTCATCAATTTGTGTGTGGGCTGTGATGCTGCCCGGGTGCCCAAACCGAAGCAGGTGGTTATCTTAGGGGGCCACACCCCGAGCCTTTGACCCAAAGGTGTAACCCACAAGGCAGTGGAGCATCGTAAGGAGATGCAATCCCATGGTAGCCGGTGACCAACGATTGGTTCATACGCCATTTGTTCCCGCAGGATACTGGATCCCATGTGCACCATTGATTTGTGATCCGGTTAAAGCGCCGGACATTCGCTTTTCGTCCTCATTTTCGTAAACAACACCCCCGCCACGAGAAGGCAATGAGTAGGACTTCCGTAGCAGAGGCTGTATACGCGTGGCCATGTGAGAGTATTTCGAGAGGGAGAGCGGACTCTCCCCACTCTCGGTCGTACCAGGGCATTAGGGGGCATTTATGTTATTTGTTGCACTTATTATGATCACCAAATGTTAGTTCGTGGTTTGTATTTATCTTCATAATTATTGGTATCAGCCGACTTTAGATGACAATTATTCAATCGTACTTGTATATTTTACATAACTTTGATGAGGTGACCGGTAGTAAACATGTAGTAGCTTTGCTCTGTACACCTCTAGACATCTTTAGATTCTTAACAATTGCACATTTCCTGTCTTTGTATGGATCAGGATTGAATGGGAATTTCCCACATTTCTTCTAGCAATCGCATCTTTGCGCAGTTCTTGAGATTGGTCTGTTACTGATGTCTGCCTGAAATAAACTCATCCACAATCTTGGATATTTGACCCTTTATTATGTCGTCAACAGTTCTTGAAGTAACTAAGATACCAACCTAGAAATGTATAGGCGATCAGTTGGAAGACATCTTAGATGATAAAAGCTTTACACTGAAAGTTTTTGTACGTTTTCCCAGCAGTCGGATTTTAGAAATACATCTGTCCATTCGGTCGAAATACTAAAATGTGAGCTAATGATATATTGAGATGATACTATCCAATTTAGTTCATTATTCAGATGAAAATACTACTCGGTATACTGAATGAATACTTGCTTGCATATTTTGGCTGAATACTATTGACATTTCCTTCAAACACTTATGTTAAACAACTTATCGTTTAATATCGATAACTATCAGATGAGAAAAGGTCTTATTTATTGGTTTGTTTTCATGACAAAATTAGACCTATGGATTGAAGATTGACATTCAATATCAGCCAGATAAGCATTCGTGGTGGTTTGAATCACCAAATTATAGAACATTTATAACATGTTT